TTAGCGCATATTTCCCCTTATAATCAGAGATTTTGATGGTACATAGTGTATTGCATTCTAGCCAATTTTTATTGTACTGAACTCTTGTGCCATATTAATACCTTTGGCTATTTTGGTTTTGCTTCCCACAATATCAATGACTTCACTTCTTTTCATAGTTTTTTTCTTTCTTTGCTATCTTCTTGGGATATGATTTAATTGTTCTGTGATATAATAATCACAAACTAGGTGAGTAACATGTAATACAACAACACAATGATTTTAGACGTAAGTATAAAACCCCAGGCAGTTGAACTAAGCCTCCCGCCTACTTTAAAGAATCAAATGGATTTTTTGTAACTCTACATTTGATATTTGCTCATTTGCTTAATTTGCAGGCGCCATATACTCCCTCCCGATCTCCAATTTTCTTTTATTCTTTCAGGTATCCTGCTTTCATCTGCTAATTTGACGATGTATTAGGACTTTTTAGATAGATACAGACTATATCTTTTCGGTCTTCTACTAATATATTAAGAGTCTTGGAGAGATCATCACAACAAACCTCACAAGTGTTTGTTAGTATTATCTCTCAAATTTATATTTTCAAATTATACTCCATATGTAGCATGCCTTAAGCTTATTTAGCATTTAACTTTAATTCCTCCAAGTTCTGTTGAAAATCATAAATTTGAGGCTTATGTATTTTAAGTATATCTAATCTTCACCCTATTTTACTAATGCCATTGTAGTTTATATCAGAATCTATTGATTCTCTAATGGATACAAGGGCAGCCTGCGAGATACCATCATGTCTGGCCACTAGTAGAAAAACGTCAATTAGAGGCGCTTCATCTGAGGTACTTTTCTTTACAAGCGCCTCAAATCAGTAGGCGATTACATTTTTATTAGGAATAACTGTCAAATAGGCCTTCATAGTATATCATAAAAGTCAATCAAGCCCCCCAACTAAAAACACTCAATTGAGCCCCTCAACTTCAGAAAAATAGTCAAATTTAAACTTTAGCAGGTGATAAATAAGTTACCCGGTCATATGTCTATGTGGCGATCCACCTGTTTTTATTTTAAACTTTTTCTTTTCTTTTTTCTCCTTTTCCTCTTTCGTTTTCTTCTCCCTCTTTCCTCCTCCTGCAACTTCCAATTCTTACGCACTTACGCAATTCTTCTTCCACATCCGTCTTCTTCTTCCGTTCTTTTTCCCCTTTGTTTTCTTTTCGTCTTTTCTTTTCTCACATTCCTTCCTTCTCTGAGTTTGAAAATACGTCGGCGAGACACAAGGTCGATGGCGCCGGAGGTATAGAACACGGACGCCGGAATGTCATTGGCCAAGAGGTGTAGAAGAAGTTCAACGAAATTTAGAGCTCCTTAGCCAAAACGTCATCCTTTTCAGAGGTGTAAAACCCTAGAAACCCAAGCTTTTCTATTTAGCACCATCATCGCCGGAGGTGTAGAAGAAGTACGCCGGAATTATTAGCGCGTCCTCGCCGTCGTTAGCCGCCTAATCGAGCTAATTTTTTTCGTTGTCTACGAAGACTGGAACCAATGACGTGGAAGATGGAAGGTGAAAACCTCCTCTACCCAGATTGAAAAGACCCGGATTTTAATAGAATTCTAAGGGGGTGTTTGGATCTGATTCTTAAAAATGCTTATGCTCCCTGAGGGAGCAGAAGCAGAAGCTGTAGTGTTTGGGTGAAAGTGCAGAAGTGATTCTGGTGCTCTAATTTACTCCTAGAATCAGTTTTTCTGGAAGCTGGGGGAGACCAGCTTCTAAAAACTGATTCTGATTCTGCTTCTAATTTTAAAAAGAAGCAGAAGCAGAATCAATTCCAAACACCCCCTAAATTGCATTAGAATCCGTATATTATCAAAATTAAAGAAACATAGTGTTTCATAGTTAACGTATATTATCAAAATTAAACATTATAATAATATTGCGCACAAAGTTACATATAAAATTCACTCTACAGTTACATACTCCGTATAAAATCTATCTATAGCCGGAAAAAATAAAAAAAATAACGGGAATTTTAAATCTTTAATTTCAAATGTGTATTTTTTTAATAGAAAAAAATCAAAGAAAAATATTACTTATAATTATTTAAGAGGAAAATAATTTAAATACTCCAAACTTTTAAGAGATGTGAGATAAACACCCCAAACTTGTAAATGTAATAAAAATAACCCAAAGTGAATATAAAATTTTATGTACACTCTTTCAGTTCATTTGTAGTTTTGCTTGTACATATACATACTCCTGGGACCCATGGAACCCTTAGTGGGTCCCGCATAGTGAACAAATTTATTTTCGAATGGAGGTCTATGGTTTTATTTTGTGAAAAGGAGTAGAGTTGAAAACGATGGAGAACAGCAAGTATGCTGGATGCATAAGAGTGCGTAAGTACTGACGTATTGTATGCGTATGCCTGAGCGTAAGAGGCGTAATAATGGTATAGGGCTTGTTTGGCAAATAACGGTTAACGGTTAGCAGATAATATTAGCGGGTTCCGAATAGCGGATTGAGTCAGCGGATTTGACCAGCGGATTGATTTGGCGGGTTGTAAAAAAGTATTTGGTAATTTAGCTGTTTACATATAGCGGTTAATAGATAAAAAGACAAAAAGGACATTAATACATTTTAGTGTATGTTTCATGGTTGTTTATTACTCCTTTCGATGATATAATTAAGAGTACAAATATGGGTGCTTCTACAGTACGTGCAAAAAATGAGAGTGTTTTGGTACATCCATTTTTAAACCAATCAGATAAGAGAGGATTCCACATCAGATCAACGCCTAATTTTAGTATTAACACGTCAAAGCACACCGTAATTTCAATATTTGCAATTGCAATACAATTCCTCCTCCATCTGTAGTTGAAGTCCGTAGACGGTAGATCGAACACATGACTGCCGTTACAAACCACAAAAAGAAAAAAAACTCGCTGAAATAAGGAAGAGGCTACCTAAGGAAGAAAGAAGATTTCGCCGAATGAACTTGCGGCGCCTAGTTATGGAAGACGTTGTGCCATCAACGAAGAACGTCCAAAGAAATTACATGTTCCGGCGAGAATGCAGAGTCAAGAAACACAATATGTAGAAAACTATTAGCATAAGATTGAATTCGTAATATTAATTCTAACTCGCTAGAATTGAACTAGTGGAAGAAATGTGACCAGTAGAACATGAGAAATCATTCTTTACACTTTAAGGCAGAAGACAACGCTTGATATAATATTTCATAATAAAATGTTTTTTTTTTGTTTGAGAGAATTTTTATTATTTCTCATTGAGCGAGGACTAAACTGCAAAATAAGGTAGTATAAAATTTCCATACTAAAATGATTAGGACGTGATCACGTGAATGTGGCAGTATTTGATTGGTTTAAAAATGGAGTGTACCGGTACATTCTATATTTAGTGATGTACCGTAGAATTTCTCTTATATGTGTGAGTTAATTAATAATTTAAAAAACTAACTGAATAAAAATATTGGAATAAGTAAACAAAAATACTCTGTATAATCAAAGTGGTGGACGAGATTAGACGCATGTATGATGTATTTTATATAAAAAATCTGCACATATTTTACATCCCTGTACACCATATATAATACTCATCCAATCACACATACATACGGAGTATAAAAGTATATACATGTACAACCAAGTGATATACGTAGTACGAAGTATTTGAAATCGTGGCATAAAAGCGGAAGCCTGCAGATTATAAACGCAAGCGGTGTGATACTTTTGTTCAGAAGGTATGCGGACTTGCGGAACATTGAAGAAGAGGGAAGAAGGTCTGCGGAATTGAAACGAAAGAAGGGTAACCTTGAGAATTTATTCCGTTTTTTAATCCGCCGATTCTAAAACGCTCCAAGTTGTGGCGTTTTTCTATTTCAGCGTTTCGGATCAAAACGTCGATGTAAAACGCCATCTGCCAAACACATAATTTCAGCGTTTTGACTGATTAAAAATGCTAAATTTGGTCAAACCCGCCAATTTTAAGCTGAAACACTATTTACCAAACATGGCCATAATTAGAAAAGGAGATAGAAAAATTTAATCCAAAAATTCCCTTTGTACACGTTTTTATACACGTCAATACACCATATTGTCCGTGAGAGTTTTTTTTATCTGTGAATGTCAGTTCACAGACAAAATCTGACTTATTTTGTCTGTGGAAAATTCTACAGACAAAACATGTCAGGTTTTGTCTATGAAGTGGCATTCACAGACAAAAAAAACTCTCACAGACAATGGAGTGTACTGATGTGTGTAAGAAGGTGTACACCAAGAATTTTCCAATTTAATCTGACCAGTGCACTTCATCAAACATCGAGACGAAATACTTCTCTCTATCGTTATGTTTGCAAAAAAAAAAATCATTATCAGTTTTTGACTTAACAAAGTTGAAAAGAGTGTTTTATAAAAAAAATTGAAAAAGTGTTTTCAAATGATAGCTTTTGCTTAAATTAAATATTTAAAAGCTAAGAGTTAGAATTTACTTTTATCCTTTTTATTACACAAAAAACACATATTTTATGAAAAAATACTAACAATTACTTTTCAAAATCAATTTTTTTTCAAACACTATCAATTTTTATCATTAAGCATTTTTCCAAAATCACTTTAAAAAGTGATTTTTTAAAATAAAAGCAATTGCAAACACTTCCATATAGGTATGGTTCTGGTGATAACTCATCTTAAAATAAGAACTGTTTATATTTAAAAAAAAATTAATCACAATCTTTCATTTTATTCAATCATTAATTAGATGCATGTGGGAGACTTTGTGTAATTATTCAAAATTTTAATGAGGCCTGTTTTTTATTAGAATTTGGATATATAAATGAAATATTAAAAAGATTTTACGTTAAATGGAAAATAGTGAACGAAAATCTTTCCAACGATGGTAATAGTCAATTCGAAATATGTAAGCTGTCATCTACATCTAATTGCAAACTGTGGGTGCGTTTTGTGTAACGTAGCTTGACCGGTGTCAGTATACTTTTTCCAAAATACTCCTTATATATTGGTTGATATTAGTTCTCTCCTTTGAGCATAAGCGGATTGTTATTGCATCTCCTAACCAGACGTTTACACGGTTTACACCATTTAAGCTTTTCAAACTACCACTAACCTCAATCCAAAAAGACCAAAATGGCGATTCCAAATCCGATGGTCACATTTTGTTTCGCGATTATCGCCGCCGCACTTGGCGTTACGTCACCTGCTCTTGCATATATTGCACGATCAAAGGTAAATAATAAACATTCGTACTTATTTTTTAAATGGCATGGATCAGATGCATTATGAAAAATGACTGAGGGGTGGGGATGGGGGGTCAAGTTATACGCAGGGGCGGAGTCAAGGGGGTCAGGGTGGTCAGCCGACCCCACTGAAAGTTTGTGAGTATAGAGCTCTGAATTATCTTCGATTTGATATATTATGGCCCCCGTAACTCATTACGAGTAAAAAGTTATGACTTCTGGAAAATCAGCACTATCTAAACATAAAATCAACAAAATTTGATGCATACTATAAGATAATTTTCTCAAATTTTAAAAATAAGATATAATTCACTCAATACTTACGTGATACGACTCAGAAACAAAGCAAAAGCAATTTATCTTATTGTTACGAGTGCCTATTTATCTAAGGGAAAGTTCCCGAAATGGGACTAAAAAAGTTCAAAAATTCCAAAATATGACTGTCATATTTTTATTCCCAAAATAGGACTAATTACTGCCAAATTTGGAAAATACTGCCATGTTTGAAGTCTGGTACTGCCAAAACATGACAGTAATTAGTCCTATTTTGGGAATAAAAACATGGCAGTCCTATTTTGGAATTTTCAAACTTTTTTAGTCTCATTTTGGGTAATATCTCTTTATCTAAACTGCATATGAAATATTCAACTCGGACATTGTTTAAAAACAATCCACCACTTTCGACCCCCTTGACCCGTTTTTCTGGCTCCGCCACTGGTTATACGGTAGTATATAGGATGTTTTTACTTGGATAGTTATAAAAATACAAAGAAATCGGACTATCAGTTCAGGTGATTAGAATAATTGGATCTAAAATTTGTGGAACCCGCGCGTTCCAAATACAAAGTGCTAAATAGGCTCAAATATATATGCTAGTGACACATAAGAAATGGTTCTAACACTTATGAATTAGGGTTTAGAATTTTCATTAAAAAACAAAGAAATTGATTTTTTATAAAATAAAAAATACAAGTTGAACATATGAAAAGTGAGGGACAAACTTACCACAGATGTAAACAGATACTACCTCCGTTCCGCTGGACTTTGCCAAGTGCAAAGTATGTGAGAAATAAGAATAGTAAAAATTGTGTGGTTGAGATTTGTGCAGAGGAGAGAGAAATGTGCAGAACCGCAAATTAATTGCTTTAATAGGAAAGTGACAAAATTTTTTGGGATAATTAAAAAGGGAAAGTTGGCAAAGTCCAATGAGACGTAGAGAGTATAACCTTTGGATTTCGAAATTAGAAGGGAATCGGCGGTGGTAACATGGAAAAAGCATGAACACATGGAAAGAAAATATGGACAAATTTAGGAGTAATAAAGAAATGAAGTAAGAAGCTGATTTTAGGGGGCTCCGGGGCTCTACGGAACGAAAGAGTGTTAAGAGCATCTCCAATGCTAAAACGTTAACGGTGCATACGTGGCATGGGAAATAACCAATTAAAAAACAATAAATACAATATCTCTCTCCTTCTTTCCACGGTCTTATGTGTTTATGGTAAGTTTTTGTCTGCAATGTCAATCACAATGTCAACATCTAGACATTGTGCTTGACATTGTGAAGAAAAACTTACCAAAATGATGTAAGATCCTTCAAATAAGGAGAGAAATATTGTATTTATTGTTTTTTAATTGGTTATTTTCCATGCCACGTATGCACCGTTAACGTTTTAGCATTGAAGATGCTCTAAGGTGAGAGAGAAATGACGAGAAAGAGGGAGAGAAATAGCCGGGAGAAACTGTGGATATTGAAAAGATAATCGGTAATAAATGTGCCTTTTTTTTCCTAATTAAAACGGAGTATATATAAATTAATACGAGTATGAAGTTTTTTGCCAGTGTTTAACATATATAAACATTCGTTGTCCAGATTTCTTTCAAGGACTTGCTTGCAATTTTTTAAAATACTCAAGCTACTAGCCTATAATTGGAATGCATATTACCTTCTAGCTTGGGCAAACAAATTAGCCAAAACAGGTTACATGCTAAAAAGGAGAGAAAATTGAAATAAAATGGTAATTCCCATATATATATATATTTAATTTATTGATAATTAATATACTAATCTAATTAAAACAACAACGGTAAAGTTCCAAAGTGGTTTCAATCTCATTACCACTAATTATTATAAATAGAGAATGGTTTTGATGTTCATCAAGGATATGATCCCGATTTTCAATTGTTTTTGCCTAGGGATCCAGGCATTCGAGATTGACAAGTGCATCATAAGTTGATATTGTTTTTGAGCAAATTTTTTATTCCTTATTTTGTTACTTAACAAAATACATATTTTTATACTAATTTTAATAATATGTATTTCAAAATAAATATTATTTTTATTATATTAACAATAAAATTCATTCAAAATGTATATTTTCGAATTTAATTGATTTGTGGGTCTTATTCAAGAGGCATGCATTGTAGCTAACCATTGAACTACCACATTGCTGAAAAATGGATTAGCTAGAAAAAACTGATGCATATGGCAAGTAAAGCTACAATGTGTTTAGCTAACCGCCGGAGATGCTCTTACTCAAACTCACAACTCAATCCTTCTTTTCCATTAGAATCATTATAATCAAAAGACTCCCTCACTCCCCGATCATGCATTCAGGCATAAACAGGTTATCCAAAATTGAGCGAAATTTTTCTTTGAATATGTGAGAGTTTTGAATCAATCATCGACTACATTAGAATCCGGCCTCAATACTTCCAATCGTAGTAAAAATTGACATCACAAGACTAACACAAACACACAAAATCCAAAAACAAGGTAAATTGCCTAACCAAATAAATATAGAACTTGGAATAAAATTCAAGCAAAACACAGGTAGCCAAATCCCAACTTGAAATATCGTCTTCCAAACCTTAGCAAATTGAAGTATGAACGCCTCCTCGCTGACCATCGCAGTTCATGCAATATGCTAATATGGAGGTTCGACGGTCTTCGGCTGGTGCAGTCCAAAATTCTACCTTGATGCCTTTGCAACCTAAGTTGAATTGGTAAACCCTACTAACTCCTAAACCCTAATAAACTTTAAATCCTAATCCTAAACAGTACACATCAAGGGGTATTTTTGTCCACACTATATTTAGGGAATATAAAATATAAATTGTTATTCAGTAATTGCCCAAAATAGGAGTAAAAATGTTTTGAAATTCCAAAATAGGAGTATCATGTTTATTTCTCTGAATAGGAGTAATCTGCAAGTTTGAAAAAAATGTCATGTTTAAGGCCTTGTAATGCCCTAAAAATGTCATATTTAGGGAATAAAAAACATGATACTCCTATTTTGGAATTTCAAAACGTTTTTACTCCTATTTAAGGAATTCTCTCATTGTTATTTTTGTGATTTCCTAATGTTCTATTCCTATTTAATCAATTTCCGTCAACGCTTTTACTAATTACTCCGTAATACGTAGTACTAGTACTGTGTAACATTAATTTATTATTATTATTATTATTATTATTAGGGGAAAGTTCCCGAAATAGGACTAAAACCGTTTGAAAATTCCAAAATAGAACTGTCATGTTTTTTATTCCCAAAATAGGAGTAATTACTGTCAAGTTTGGAAAATACTGTCACGTTTGAAGTCTGGTACTGCTAAAACATGACAGTAATTAGTCCTATTTTAGAAATAAAAACATGGCAGTCTTATTTTGAAATTTTCAAATATTCTTAGTCCTATTTCGAGTAATATCTCTATTATTATACATACTCCATTGTATGTTTTTTGCGTTTATGATCGAATAGGTGATTCGAAACAAGGGAGATACGGCTGGGCTGCTTTGCAAGGTAGCAATTGTCGTCCTTGTTTTATCTGTCGTGTGTATATTGATCCATGAATTGTGGGCTCGGGCAGTCGAGTCGACTGACGATGTTGCAAAACGCATCGATATGTGGGTGAAATGGACATTGCTTTTAATCATGTAACGTCTTCTTTTCTTCTTCGATGAATTATACTACGTACTATATTGTTCATTAAAACATTGAAATTTATACTGTTCAAGTATTCATCTATTGACTAATGTGTGTATTATTCATATGACTGGGGGGTCGCCAAGATGATTGGGTCAAGACTCAAATGACCCATTATTGACTACGTATTCCTTCACTTATACTCCCTCCGTCCCCTTTTAAATGGGATGGGAGATGGTGGCACGGGTTTTAAGAAAAGTGAGTTTGTGTGGTTGATATTAATTGATAAAGTAAGAATAAAGTAAGAATGATTTTGAGGCACACATAGTTTACCAAATAAGGTATGAGGCAATTAAATAGGGACATCCCAATATGGTAAAACGGGACATTTAAAATGGGACGGAGGGAGTACTAATTTGTACTATACTTAATTTATACTTAGGCTAACCGCAACTCGCCTCCGTCAATATATCAAATTTACCAACTTTTTATACGTATTCATTCAGTCAATCAGTTTTTCTCTGCAACTCAGCACTGTCAATATATTCACTCAGCACAATTTTTTTTAAAATAAATTTATAAATTCTTACTTTTATTATCACACATCAATCTTATAACAATTTTTTTATCAATAATTATGATTTTAAAAGTAAAACATTTCTATGTAAAAAAATATTTTTTTGGAATGTATAGAAATATGCACAAATGAGCTTAATTTCAAATAAATTGCACCAGCGAATCCAAATAAATTGCACCAGGTATGAAAATATGAGCACAAATGAGCTTAATTTCAAACAAATGAGCTCAAGAAAAGTAACCCATGCGCACTCCAGCGAGTCCAAAGCACCGCTGTTGGTAGCTGACTACTGTGACCCACATGTTGGTAGCTGCTGCCTTTCTTCTGTTGTCCAGCAGCCAGTGGAAATAGTGGGTCAATGACTCAATGTACCCACCGAAATCTCTCCCAAGGGGTGCCATGCACCCACTTTGGCACCCCACAATACATGCACCCCACAATACATGGTTTGCAATGCTTTATTGGGGTGAATAGAATGGATTTGGCCTATTCAACCATGGGTTGCAAGCAGCCTTATTGGTGTGAAAAGGACTTGAAATGTGATTGGGTAAGACAACTATTTATTGGTGTGACAAGGACTTAATTTATAGTACCTCCCTCCCAAAAAATTCTTCCAAGTCAAACTTTTCTCGCAAATTAAGGAAGTGGGAATGAAGTGGGAATAAAGTGGAAATGTATGGTTGTAGTTATGTAAGAAAAATGTGAATGAATGAGAACCAGAAAGTGGAAGTTGAAAGATTTTTTTGGGATGACCCAAAAAGGAATGTTGGAAGAATTTAATGGGACGAAGGGAGTAATTTATACTTATATGTGATTGTGTGTATCATATGATATGGTATGAAGGATAGTACATAGGTGATTGGGTCAAGACTCGAGTGAAATTTGTACTTAAAATGTACTCCCTCCATCCCAGAAACAAATTCCCACTTTTCTTATTAGGATGTCCCAAAATAAACTTCTCACTGCCTTATTTGGCAAATTATCTACATCAAAACAGTGCAAAACAGTGCCAAACAGCGCAAAACAGTGTCAAAACAGTAAAATTTACCCCTCAGTAAATTTATTTCCAAAAAATGTGTGAAAATTAACCCAGAAACTTATTTTCGGGACGAGGAAGTATATGACTGAGGGGTCGTCGGGGTCAGATGCACTTAATGACTAATGTGTCGTGTATGCATACTATTGTATACACAAATTAAAAAATGAAATGTTTATTTTATAATATCTCTCTTCATGCATCCATTCCACTAAATATTACTGCCTCTGTTCTTTTTTATTAGCCTCCTTAAGGTTTGGCACGAGTTTCAATAATAAAGTAGTAGGGTAAGTATAAAGTGTATAGGGTAAATGATAAAGTAGGAAAGATGATATATTAAAAAGAGTAAAGTGATAATAAAGCATGAAAGAGAGTGTATTAAGAAGAGTAAAGTGATTATAAAGTATGAAAGAGAAAGTAGTTTGTAAAAAGTAAGTGGGGTAAAAGTAATAAAAGTTAGGGTATTTTCTCAAAAACTTTCCTTAAAGGGAAAGGAGGACAAATAAAAAAAACGTTTCAAAAAGGAAAGAAGGACTAATAAAAAAGAACGGAGAGAGTATAAAAATGGGATTTTTTTTCTAGAACAAGAATTGTAAGTCTTAAGCCAATGAAGTTTTCACTATTTAATTGTCAAAGGCCAAAAATTAATAACATTATTGATGTTCAAGAAGAAAAAAAAACTAGACTGAAGTAAAATATTTTATCGGTAAACTATTTCAGATTTTTCTCCTTTTACACCTCCTATTAAGTTTTATTACTACATATATACATATGTGTGTTTCACTGTAAGTAGTTTTGAAAATGAAAAGTCGAGGGAGGCAAACACTCAAATAAGTAAAGACAAAATTAAAATAGGATGTGTCATTATCAACTTTTACTATTAATCACTTTCTCTAAAGTCAATTTTAAAAAAATACTTTTTTAAACAAATAAGAAACAATCACAAACACTCCCTTCATTTAATTAACTACAAGCCGGAAAAAGGGAATATATATATATATATATATATATATATATATATATATATATATATATATATATATATATATCAATTAAATATATTTGTTACATGAGTAGTCTTCCTGTTAGGACCGTCCGGAAACGGACCTACGTACGGACCCCGACGGTTTGGACCCTTTCCCGGTGGAATTTTTTGATGAAATTTTTTAAGCATATTCTTCATTAACTTTATATACATATAAAATGCAGTTAACTTCCAAAAATCATTTGACTGTCTTTCTGATGGAATTTTTAGCTGAAATTTGGTATGAAAAAACTTGATGAAGAACATGCTAAAAAAAATTTATCAAAAAATTCTACCGGGAAGTGGCCCAAACGCCGAGGTCCGTACGGAGGTCCGTTTTTGGAGGTCCTGACATGAACTTTCCTCTTTGTTACATTATATATGCACATCATATATAAAAGAAATGTCTTACTCCGTACTTTCAATTTATATGCATATGGGGATTCCGCATACACAATTACAATTTTGTTCATCCACCGGTGGACGTAGCTCAACTGGTAGCGAGGGAGTGCCACAAGGGTTAGGTCTCGGGTTCGAATCTCAGCAACTGCGATGAGGGGTTACTATGCTGAAAAATGCATAGGGCTTCTGCAAGTACCGGGGACAGAGCCTCACTCTCTATCTGTCAGATTGTGATTATAGTCCAATTTACATCCTCCCATCGTGCCGTCCGGTCGGTGTTGGGGGACCCTCAGAGATGGGGTGTCATCCTTTTTTTTCGTTCATCAATAATTCTAGAAGTGATAATAACATGACCAAATATTTGATATTTCGCTATGTCACACATTAAAAATAAGAAATTGTTCAAGATAAGAATAAAATATAAAAAATGTTGTAAAATAGTTGCACTACTACACATGTTTTCTACCCAAAATATTATTTATTTAGTCATATTTATTAAAGGGAAAAGGTGCAAATATGCCCATGTACTAACCAAAAAAGGTTAAATAAGCCCTTATTTAGGAGGCTCTGTCCGGCCATCGCCATTTGGGGTGGTTCCCGTTGGAATTTTTTGATGAAAATTTTTGAGCATCTTATTCATTAAGTCTAGTTTACTCATACCAAATTTAAGCTAAACTTCAACCGGGAAGGCATTCAAATGAATTCTTGAAAATACCTGCGCAGGTAGAAGTGCAGTTATCTTCAAGAATTCATTTGAATGCCTTCCGGATTGAAGTTTTAGTTGAAATTTAGTATGAGTAAACTAGACTTAATAAATAAGATGCTCAAAAAATTTCATCAAAAAATTCCACCGGGAACCTTCTCAAATGACGACGGCCGGACAGAGTCTCCTAAATAAGGTCTTATTTAACCTTTTTTTGTTAATACATGGACCTATTTGCACCTTTTCCCTTTATTAAACGATCAAAATAATAAAAGCTTCTCTAATATAATACTTCGTATAATACTTCCTATCACGTTTTACTCCGATCCTATTTAGTGAATTTCTTTAAACACATGCAAACAAATTAAAAGTTCCATGACATCTCAAAAGGTTTAATTACTAAAGCGTGATTTTCTATTGTTTCATCATTGGTCGCTACAGATACACTTCTTAAATACTTGTATATATATATATCATATTTGTTCATTTTTGTGTTTGATTCATCTACATTATAGCATAGAAGTGTGTATGTAATGTGGCATGCATGTCTAAACTCCGAAGTTGTTTGATCCATCTACATTACAAGTTATTAACAACATATCCAACAATTCGATCAATCCAATTTCAATTAACAACCAAGATTGTTTTTATACGACTTGTGCAACAATTCGATCGTTGAGCCAAGTACAAAAATTATGAATTCGTGTTGCACTACACGTCTACACTGAATAATGAGTAAACTAAGTTGAAATATATATAGCTAGCTATAATATTAATCATCGATCTATATATCTATACTTCTCATTTTATGGTGTGCGTGTGCAGGCTGGGATTTTTTGTGGGATTCTTTGCTCTACTGTATGTAATAATACATAAAGGAATGTCTGATCAAACAAAGAAGATAAGCCTCCTCTGTGGAACGTGTGGTTGCGGGTCTGTGACGGTTTTTTCCGTTCTTTACTTTGCATTAATGTTGGGGAAACCAGGACCAACCTTACTCCAGAGCGTAACTGATCATTGGATGAGACTTCATTCTATACGGTGACGATGATGACGGCATTCTGCTTAGTCTTCTATTGTTCAAGACGATTAGAAGAGCTATTTCAGGAATCCCTATTTTCAGAATTTGTTGTTAAACATGTAATTTTGATTTCATATGTTTAAATGTTTTGTAATCAAAACTACGGTTAGGAAAAGTAGCCCGAAGCTTAATATAGCACTCTAATGCTTTTCAATTTACCGATGTGAGACTTTATCACCCCTCCTCACGACCAGGCATTTTGTCTGGATCGTGCCATCATTCTTTTTTTTCGTCGGTTCGTCATTTTCATTTTTTTTAATAATCGTGTCATCATTTTTTCACGAGGGACCCACACCATGGATCGATTTGGCTCTGATACCATGTTAAGACTCGGGGTTCCATCCTAAAAGATCAACCTGATAGGAGTAGCCCATGTGTTAATATAGCATTTAGTTCATCCAAACTTTTCCGTGGGGTATATTTAACAACTACTTTTTCACATGGGGTATCACACTAATTAAAAAATTACTTGTGAGTTGTGACGCCATTTGATATATTCAAATGGTTTTCAACAAACCTATTCAAAATACTCTAATACTAATATGGCATGAGCTGGCAAGCAAATATACATGTTTTTTTTTTACTTAAATACAAATTCTTGACTATTAGGGACGTAAAAGTTAACAATCAAACTAAGAACCTTCAATTCTAAAATTTTAGTTAGGAAATTGTAATCATCTCGCGCGTGGAAACAACTGTGGGTTAGCCATTGTTCATCATCCACCGGATTTTGTTTGTGTCAATAGCCTTATTGAATCATATATTAGGTCAAAATTACTACAAACATTAACATGATATTTTAAAGTAAATGCTACTAGTATATTTCTTACATCAAAAAGTGATTGTTTCAATAAATTGCCAATGCCAAAAAAACAAAAACAAATTCACAATATTAAAAAAAATACAAAAAAGTACTACGTATTATTTAAGGTACATAATATGATAAGAATCTACACTGGATAAGAGACAATTGAAGAGATTTTTTGCACTAAAAATGAGTTAAAAGTCCACAAGAATCCATGATTTTCGAAGTCAATAAGAATGAACGGAAATTTGAATATGCCTAGACTTTTATAGATTTTTAAAAGTCTGCATTGAATACAGCTAGACTTTTGTGGACTTGTAAAAGTCCATATTGAATACACCTAAACTTTTAAAATTCATGAACTTTTAAAATTTTGCCACTAATTCCTAATACAACACACCCCTACATCTATTTGCCAGTAATCGATTGTTCATCCTTATTGCATCCGTTCACATATAACATGTATATATAATGCGTATAATTAGTCTCAATTTGTTCTACCCGATTGCTAATACTTCGTATTACATACGGAGTAGTATATCGGTACTAGTCTGACCACGCTTTCTACTGCGTATCTATATACTAATATAAAAAGGGAAACCAAAGTTAATGCCTAAACGTTACGATTGTTCAATAACTTTCAGCCGATGCAACTCAACATGTGCAAATGTGCTCATTAACGGGTGCTTCCCGTTAACCATCACGTAGTTTCCAAATTAAATCACTTACGATAATATTTAACTACTTTCACCCTATAAAACAATTACTTTGTATTATTTAACTCATCACATCACTAATTTTTGTTTTTGAGAGGACCGCACTACATTATTGTAGGTGGTTACTACCATTGGTTTATTCAAATTCAAATTGTTTAGGATATTTTACGATCACCTTCACATGTGTGTCCTTTCATTTGTTTATCAATGAGATGAAGAATTCATGTATATGTGGGGCTTAACCCTAGTTTTGTTTCATATATTAATTGTTACTAGAATCAAGCTAGTTTGTTGCGCAATCAGAAACTTATTTCTATTTCTTCAAATTTTGAACATGATTGTATTTCTTGCCATTTGGGCAAATATCAACGTTTACCCTTTTCAGATGCTAGTCATAATTCTTCTCCACACGCGGCGTTATTTTGCTGCCATTTCGACGTTATTGTGCTGCCTCCGAGATGAGTTTTGCTAATTTGTTGAATTGGGGTGCAAAGGTTGAATTATTCTTGAATAACGAAAAGGTGGGACTATTATAAGAATACTGCTAAAAGGTTGGATTATTAGTTTCCATTTTCCCTAAAAAAAATTTACAGGTACACACTTAATATTCATGGCATGTCGAAAATAAGATTTCTTCAAATCTCATGCACGGTTGGGTCTTATTATACATCTGATGCATAGTAGTAAATAGTGCAAGGTACAAATTATTCACTGATACATGTTCTTTATTTGTCTTATAATTAGTACTCCTCCTGTCCCAAATTGAGTTGTAAAATTGAGTTATACAGATTGATTGTATTCACTTTATTAGGATCTATATTTAATTAAATTTTAATTTAGATTTTGCAACTTTATAAAGATTTTCAAAGTAATTTTAGAATATGTAAATTTAAATTATTAAAATTGAATTAATTATCAATAGAGAGAATTAATTGGGCACACCACATAAGTAATTCTGGCATCGATCAATGGCTACGGTTAATAAAAATTACTCTGTTAACACGTGTACAACACAGGATATCCGTAATTGATAGATGAAAACTGTTCCGGTAACTTCCTTCAGCAACTCGCACTAACTTCCTTCACGAACGCCCAGTAACTTCTTCTCTTTCGCACTACAAACTGTTCCGTAACCCCCTCTAATATCTGTTTTAGTCATGCAGCCAACTGTAGCACTAGATAGATTTAAATAACATTGACATTATTATACGGAGCATAGTTTTGATGAGCATTAAATCAACACAATTACTTTTTTACCAGTATAAATCACTGCTACGTACTCCGTATGAAATACTTCAATCTGATCTCCAGAATAAATGTTCAGAGCAAGTAGCATGCTTATACTTATTATATTCTTTGTTACGTTCTTCAAAACATTAATCACACATGACGCATGACACATTCTAAAACAAGTAGTAATTCTTTTTTTTTGCAGGGTGCGAGTTTTTAAGAAACAAAGATGCAGAGACCAGCAACATAAACAAATCAAGAACCAATTGAGGTTAATTGGTGATCGAGGTATATACACATCAGGTTTATGGCAACAAAGAAATCAACAAACGTTTGGAATGCATTTTCCATAATGCTCAGGTATTGTTGTAAAAATACGTAGTACATTTTAAGCACTACTTTTAACGTATGCATTTGTTAATCAAACTCAAATCAATTACTATTTCTAAATTCTAATTTTTAATAAATAGGTATATCATATTCGCGCAAGATCATGGTAATACTTTTACACAATGAAAATGCTTTGCGAAAGAAAATGTAAATAGAAAAATATATTCACAATTGGAGATTCTGAAAAATAATTATCATTTTGGTCTAAAGCAAATTATATTTATATAAAATAAATGAAAAATAAATGTGAATACACAATAGTGAATGAATAGTTTACTTAACTACTTTTCCTTTTCTTGCGCGTGAAATTAAAAATTATGGTTTGTGTGCAAAAAATTACTTCCTCCGTCCCGAAATATAAGATACTTTTCGGTTTATGATGTTTGACCGACGATAAATTAAAGTAAATGGATCCCTGTCTGCACTCAAATTATTTTTTTAAACAAAATTCATATTCAAAAACTACATTAATATCGCTACAAAACCTGCAAAAAATAATTCACATTTCATAAAATTTTGATATACCAAAAATTAAAAGATTAAGAGTGATTTGTGTTGACCAAGTGAATAGTAAAGATATCTTATATAACAAAAAACAAGGTGACTAAATGGGCTATAAATCAATAAATCTTGTGTTCTTAATAATTAAATACTTCGTATTATACTCTGTAACTAATTAGCAGTTGAAAACAGTTCAAATAAATCTTCATTAAATTCCTATTAAATTCATCCTTTATGCCAAGTATTAAAGAAGTACAGACTATCACATAAACATGATTATTTTGAAAAAAATATTAATTCAAGGTTCCTACTGGATTTGGCTCAGTATATAACTATATAAGCTGTATAACATTTTAATATAAAAAATCGTTAAAATTAAAATTTTAAAAAACTGAAATTACTTTAAAAATCAGAGTATTTACTTTTACGTTAGTTTGGAATTATGTCTATACTCTACATCTATTTATATATTTGTAAATTGTGATTCTATATTTTAAAAATTTTAATTTTCTATTTGAATTTTTATTTTTTTATTTTTTTTAAAATTATAATTATTATTTTTATATTTTGACATTTTTACATTTTATATTTATATATCTTACAAATCCATATTAATTTTACTTATTATTTTCTTAATGGCTGGATCAGCCGCTTTTTCAAATGCTAGCATGCTAACATGATACGTGGTAATTTTTAGTATATAACGTAAGCGATGAATTTAAAAACCAAAAACTTGAAAAATGAAGTTCATCAATAAGGCCCCCATTCATGTTGGTGTCTCACATGTTATTAAACGTGAAGGATAAAAAATACTTGACAAGCTATATTGTTTATCCGATTTTTTTTCAAAATGTGTAGTTTTTATGTAATGTACTGTTTTTGAATTGGTTTTATGTGGGTACTCAGTATATGTGTTAAATCATAAATATAATTAAATATTTTTTGTCCTGTGCAACGCACGGGTACAATACTAGTGTTTTTTAAAAACGTGTAACTAAAATTTGTTTAACAAGTATTCTTAATTATTAATATTATAATCAGGGGCATACCAGCATAGTTAGGAGTGCTACTTTTGATTCCGCCTCCTTCTAAATTTTAATTTTGTCTAAAGTACCACAGTTAAAAAGTTTGTGTAAAAAGATTTAAAAAAAACCTCTTTATGTCGACCCAAGTCAATATATTGTTTTAGTTACGCCATTGATTTCAAGGTGGCACCATCTTGCGACTATGAAACATACACAACTTCCTCCGTCTCAAAAAAAAATTGGTCAAATTCATTTTTAGTTGTCCCAAAAAGGTTTATCATTTTCATGTAAATTAAAGTAATTTATTTGTATTTTTATATAAATTTCAATCACACAATTTTTTAGCAATATACATGTCAATCAAATTTGGTCAAGTTAAGTGATTGGAGTGGATATTATTGTCTCGTTCATCGCACAGGTATAATACTAGTTATTTTAATTATTTAATCCATGCTTGTTCGATACGCTTAATAATCGGTTAATCCTCAATTTTTTTATAATCTGTGCTTTTCA